CTTTTTTCTTGTTTGAGTTTCCCGATCCCACTCGACTCTTCTGTGGCGGTTTCAAACTTTTTAATGCACTTTTGCTAACTTTTTACGGTCTACGTAAAAATTTTTTAACTTATGATGCTTCACAGCACGGTACTCTCAGTTGAGTGGTGTAAGACATATTGACGTTTTGTTTGGAAGATTCAATTCCACTCCCTACTCAATTGTCTTACTTGGAATTTTTACATTTCTTGACCATCTCCCGCTTTGCCTGACAATAGTAATGGAATTTCACGCTTTACCTGTGTAAGTCGGGTTCATTGAACTGTTGTATGGAGTGATTCAAGGGGTTTTTCGGAAAAGCCTTCCGACATACGTTTATTTACTGAAGACACCCCTTATTCGCTCCATCTATGATTTGTACTGCTTCTTCAAATGAATCTTCTGGAATGAAGAACCTAGCAGTTATAAAAACTGCTTTGGACGAAGGTTTTAGAACTATTTTGGACAAAACATGTTTGTCCGTCATTTTTGCTGAAATGCACATTGTGAAGATAGCCAAAATATCGTTACTGCTACAATGGCAGAGGTTCCTCCAGGAGAGTTAGAAACTTTCATAGGAGGCTAGACCTGACGTTGTACAATTAAGAGAAGCGACCGTTACCAACTACACCGTGGTTCGTCGACGAGACAGCTTTGTGGGTCCGCATAAGAATCAAAATGAAACTTTAACAATGAACTTTTAAAAAGCTGTGTCAGGCGGGTAACAAATCACTGGACTCAAAGTAGAGTTCTAGTCACGCCTTAACAATTTGCTAGTAAATAATTTCCAGTTTACAGTGAGGATATGCATCTCACTGGACATTCTTTTACTTAAGTTCTTTTAAGAGGGCGTGCCCAAAAGTAGTCGACCTTGTAAACAAAAGGCTCGTGCGATTTGTGCGATGTTTTGAATTGTAATGCACCTGCCATTTTTGTATGTAGTGTCGTTTGCCCGTATCCCATTCTAATAAGTTCTGGATTTCTCCTTCAGCTAACATATTATTAATGATATGTCTGAATGTTTCAAACTTTTTGGAGGCCACAGCCAAAGAAGGTGGTAACCTTCTGACCGAAAAATTAACATCGTGAACAGTAGCTATCCTACCTAAATATAATAGATAGTCGGCTAAAGTTTAAGGATTTCTAGCTTTTAAAAATGACACCGACTGGTTTTAAACAGCTACTTTTGATTCTTTCAAGATTTTGCGGAACGACCAGCTACAGATCAAAAATTTATTTTCTTGACTGGCGATTTTTCAGGGCATGGCTTGTTGCCGCCTGTTTTGACGGCTCCTTGCTTGTTTTATCCACTTCTTCTGGACTCTTACGTTTCACTTTTATACTTGATTCGGCTCCTTGTTCTCTAACCTTGGAAAACGCGTTTTCGTCTGTTATTACCGGTTACGGCTTTATTTATGTGTGGTAGGTTTGCCTTTAATGGTAATTGTTAAGTTATTTTTTATTTAAATTTATGCTTGATTCCAGGTGGTTTTATCAATATATGGCACTATTGCAAGTTTTTGAATCAGTTAACTCCACAAAAAAATAGTTTTCTAAAGTAGTAACTGAGTAATATTAGCCTGATAAAATTTACAAGGTTGTTCGGAAAATTTTTTTATGCAGATTTTTTCTGAGTATGTTGTGGAGAAAGTAGAAAAGCAGTTTTTGGTCAAATAAGTTATAGAAGTACATAATTTTTTCTGAGTCGTTCATAGGCTGAGATTTTTTAGTGTTCGTAGCTTATTGTTGGAATTGTTGACAAAGAACACTTACCAAAATTTTCATCGCAGTGTTACTCAGGCATGCCTGCCTCAGAAACTTTTTGTGGTACTAACCTCGATTTCTTTCTATTTACTATTTTCGGATTTTTCAAGTCAACCTAGCGCGAATTCAGCGAGTTTTTTTTGTTATTCTTCCTTGCTCTTGAAAGAACTAAATCTCTGCGGCTTTTTATTTCTTCTATACTTCTGTGGTTACAGTTGTGAAGAAGGGGGAGGGGGAGGGGTTTTAAAACAATGCTTCTATAATCTTCATGAAGGTTTCGGTTCCCGGCTGCAATCGTACGGAACGGATTCCGCGTACTGTCACAACAGGGTTCGGTCTATTCTGGTAGAGCAAAATTAGATTTGTATATAAATCATGGAAGCAAACTTTCATCGTTCAGGAGGTGCATTATTTTCCATTTCTTGGCCATCTGTTCTAAATTGAGGAAGTTTTGAGTCCAGATGTATGTGATACACATTTATGCGGAACTTGTGTTTATGCAGTCAACCGTTGTTTCAAAACAAACTAGTAAATGATGATTTGTAGGTAGTAAAAGCTACAAAAATTGAAAAGCAAAGGACATTTTTCTGAACGGACTCCAACTTTCGGAAACTAGGCACGCAAAGAGTAAAGATAGATAGCTGCTAAAAAATTATGTCTCAAAGTGAGTTTTTTCAAAGAAGTAGCATCCCGAGTTGTCTGGGTGAAGGTGTTGATGTAATTGAGTCTGTTTTTCAACTTTGGACGACAGTGGCGTTATTCAGGAAGTATATTATGTACTTATTTTTATGAAGTCTAAGTTTTCAGGAGATTGTATTTTGAAATAGAGATCCAGCACTTACTAGATGGTTTTGAACGTATGCGTATAGTTGTTGTGCATGACGTTAAGGTCGCTCTCAGTTCTCTCTCCTTCCTTCATGCAAGACCTGTCATTTCCTCTTTGAAGCATAGTCCAAAATTGGAGGCTGTGAGGAAGTTCAGAGGAGTTGTGGATTTCTTTTCGTTGCTTTGTTGAAATCCTCTTATAGAGCTTTTTGAAAAAGATAAGACCTATAAAAATAAGAGGGTTATGTTTTTTCTAGGAAGCAGTTTTGCTTGAAGTTTTTAGCAAGGTAAAGAATGGTGGTGGAAAAATCTATCTTTTGATATAGTCTGTTCTTCAAGCTTCTTCACCGCTCTCAGTTGATTGTCGCCGTTGCTAGTGGAGCCTGGAAGTCCCTTGTCGAATTCGTCTTGGTTTGAGTATTTTTGCTGAGGATTTTAAGAGAGTAATTTGCAGTCACGTAGTTTCGTGCGTTCCTGGGTCGCCGTCTTCCTTTTATTATTAGAAATTTTGGTTTATTCTTGGCTTTAGTACTTTATTTTGATGTCTTTTTGGTTTACAGACCTTGTAAACTGTACCATTAATGACGTTTCTGCCATTGAAGTTGATCGATGTTTGCTTTTTTTCTTAGCTTCTTTTGGTATTCAAAACTAGTTACCGCTTGCATCTTAGTCCTGATGCATTTTGGTAAAAGATAGAAAAACATTCACTTTCATTGGTTTCTTTAGTCATCGAAAGTTTCTGAAGTGATCTCTGTTGTCTTCATTCGTCCTAATAGTCGGCCTTCCTTTAAAAAAAAATCTGTTCTGTTCTGATACATTTTTAGGATCCATTTAAAGAGGATTTCAAGCGTTTTCCGTAATAAAGCTTATAAGACCATGCGAAAAAGAATTGATTTAGCTTATATTCTCTTTTCGATGGATAAGCTCTCTTGTATAAACGATTATTAGTTAGGCCACAACTGTTGCTGTCGTCAGCCATACTATGACTAAATATGCTAAGTATATGCGTTTTGCACCGTTCTAGTGATGGGTACAGTCAGATGTTATCAAGAAAGGGGAATTAATTATTGAATTGTCTCTGGAATTCTCAAAGACTGATAAAATTTTTTTAGAACAAAAATGAATTTATTTCACAGGACCATTACCTATGTGTGCATATTTTTAACAATGTTTGTTTTAGTAATTTGACTTGAACGGCGAATTAAAGTAAGTAATTTATAGGAATCTAGAAGATGGAAGCGTGACACTATCAAAAAAATCCTGCCTTGATCCCTTCAGCCAAAGTGGGTTTGCATTTGTGATGTAAGGGAAAAGTTTTTATTACTTTCCCATTATACTTCCACCATTGGGAACGGATTCAGTTATAAAATAAGCTAGGAATTCGGCTGTAGTTCTTTGGTAACATTCTTTTTTGCTCATCTTCCCAATAATTATTCTGGTCAAAATCAGAAGTAAATGTAAAGTTTTTCTAACTGCAACCAAATGTAGCAGAGCAACAAAGTTCTGTCAAGATGAGGATTTGATTGAGGTCACAAGTTTCAAGGAAAGTTGAAAAAGCGTCACGGCGTCAGAAAAAGCATTCGTAAAAATTAGTGAGGACATGCTCTCTCATCCATCTTTACTTACATTGAGCAGCTAGTGGGATCCCGCTTGTCCCTCTTCTGTATGTGTGGAAGTGTTTTGGTGTTGTTAAGTTCACATTTAATCTCGAAATGTTCGTTCTTTTTTTTTTAATCGACTTATGAGATGATAGCTGACTTTGACATTATGTCTGACTGCTTCTTCGTTCCGTGGGAGAGATATAATGGGAAAATTCAAACTTCCTTTAGTTTGTTTGGCAGCCATGCTGAGACATTTGTAGGCCAGTTTTATTTAATTTAGATGATTCTTTGGAGAAACACTTGGTTACCTCGACAGGTGTGCCTATCCTTCATTTATCTTCGGGAAAGACTTTTGCATTTACATCGGGATGCTGGTTAATTCTTCTATTATATCTAATAAGATTAAAGTTTTTTGTCTTTGAACAGAGTTGAGATTTGCATGGGACATAATAAGTGTGGTTATGTTGTGCTCTTGTTACAGGCAGTTATTGGGAGACAGAAGAAGTGTTTTAACACAGCTTTCCTTTGCAACTCCAGAGCTCTCAATTTGCGCAGAATCAAATCTACTTTTTTTGCTTTATCCACAGGAAAGGTGAGTTATAATCGACAATCACAATTTTTTTTTTTTTTTTGAGAAGTGATTACAATATTGGGTTTAACCGTTCAGCAAAAACTGTATCTTTTGCCTTTGCTTCTTTAATAAACTTTTCCGAACAAAGCCGCAATTATTAATTTTTTCCGGAAAACAACAAGATGGTCTAAAGCATTTTTTGCAGCGAAACACTTCATGCTGATAATGCAACTAAGATGAGTGCTACATGCTCTTTGCTGGAGGAAAGACTCAATGCTGCATTTGTTTTCCAGTGTGAGAACGAATACTGCGCTTTTCTTGACTGCTACATTCGCTGGCTTACTAAGACAGGTGCCCTTTTTCTAAAATTCGTCTACTTTATCAATCTTGTGTTTCTCCTCGCACTTGTTTTAAGCTTATTAAAACCCCAGAGCAATCTATTTAGGGGACCAGAAGAAACTGGAAAGTTTATCCCACAGTGTGGGGAGTCAAAAGACTTGGTTCGGGTCCTTAAGTACAGAAAAAGTTTTGGACTTGGTCAAAAAAATACGAGAGCAAACGCAGCAACAGTGAAAAAAGTAATATCAAAGCTCCGTAAAGGAATCTTTTTATAAAGCGAGTTGTGGACCCCCTTTGGATTTGAGGCATCGGTTCAGTAGCAACGTTCCCTTAGCACGCAGCTCCACCGCTTTGTCGCTTGCTAACTAGATAAGCTCGATAACTCGCGCTCGAATTCATCTGGCAAATGTGGAGAGGTCTACAACTTGAGATCCATTTACTTTCAGTAACTGTGCGGTTGACAAAATTAAGGACCGTGCTTGAAACCACACAAATTTTCCTCATTTTAGCTCAAGCCTCTAGGTTTGCAGAGTAAGGAAATTTAGAAGCCGCCGCCATAATTTTATATATCGTTGTACCTCATTTCCAATGTTTTAGTTGATTATGTTGTTGTACCATCATAATTTCCCTAATCGCTGAGCTTGTTTTCTGCGCTACCTCCCACTAAACGCCTCATTTACAGTAACCTATTACTTAACCCTAACTCTTTGGATTGTTCTGCAAGCAAAGATCATATGACGTGCATCCGCATTAGTTTCAACAAATACAATGCCAACCGAGGCCTTTGACTACCCATTGTTGGTAATCTCATTTGAAAACACTTCTGTGAGATTAGAAGCGTCACAAGCATTTCCAGGCAACTTCAAACGACTTACTTAAACGTAGGGATCAGATGTGTTGTAAACTTAGTGGGAACTAAGGAATAAAACACTTACTCCCATCATTCTTCATGCCTTACAATCAATCTTACATGTCACTATAAAAGGCTTAAAGATTCATAATATTTAATGTACAAGGAGAAAGTAGGAGTAACAGACATTAAATAAACAAGTGGACCCGTAAGTAAATAAACATAATTTCCATAATGAATAATTCAGCGTAAGACCACAAACACAAAAACTGATACAATATCAAAATAAATGAAGTCAGTGAGGAATAAAAAAGAGGAAAAAATGTAGTTAGTAGGAAGTAGAAAGATATAGAAACCTAAAGAATTTTTCAAACCGTAATTTAAGCTCTGTGCGTTTGAAATACGGATTTTGGCGCTGCTCCTAACTATGGTTCACATCCCTATCCACCCTAGTCCCCAAAACCGAAAAAAGAAAAAAAAAAATATGAAAGAAAATACAGAAAGACGTAACTTCAGGTAAGTTAAACGAATCTTAGCTTGTAAATGGAAAAGCTGCGGACACGGAAAAAAATTTCAAAAAGTGAGAGCTTGCTTAGTACAGATATGCAAAGGATATGAGCGTGGAAAACTATTGCATAATAACTGTG